ACTGTCCCTCTTAGTCTTGGCATCGCTCTGAGAACAAGCAGAACAATTTTTACCTTTACTCGTACTCCTTTCTCCAGTAGAAACAATTCGCTCGTTGTTTTCATTGTCGGAGCGTATCTCGTTCCAGTTTCGGCTGAAAGGACCAGTTGGGTTTCAAAACACAAGAAAATGCATGAAAAGTAATGTGTTCATTATACAATAGCACAAAGAGATTGGAAAGCAAGTGATAGTTCGCGATAACATATTGCATATCATATACTCTCACGCACCTCTCTGTAAGTTGCGGTCTGGTATTATTCGAGGGTATAAGTAGAAGTAATGAAACAAAAGGTAAATATTGTATGTGGCCTCATTTAGTTGAGGTTTTTCAATGAGACAGAATTTACTGACACCACTAAAGCGAAGCATTCCACTGATAGTGCAATAAAACTTGTGCCTTTCTTGGCAAAACGTTGATGGGAACCAGTCTTGATAGATATAATGCTTTTTGGAGTTTCATTGTAATCAAATTTGCCACCATAGTTTAGGTAATAAAAGTGAGAGTTATGGTCAAAGTTTCATCTCTGAATTTAACTCCAAATTTTCCTTATATGGATGGGAGTGTGGCATTTCAAAGATTTTTGCGTATTTTAGCCTCATCGTGGTAATGAAATTTTTGATGACTTAGCTAAGTTTGAATATTGTCTGCATTATAACACATTTAAAACAGTCTTTATCGGCTACAACATTCCGTAAGATTTAGATGCCGTATGATCTCGCGGCAAGTTGGGGGAGAACTTCAAAGCGGCATCGCCGCTGCATTTCTTCTTGCACTCTTTTTTGCCTATATCGCGTGTGATCGGGTGGTAAGTGTCGTGCTTTCGGTATCTGTGGATTGTAACTCAATAATACGAGAAAAGTAGTGCTTTCATGTCTGTGTTGCTTCATTGCTATCAGTACGCAATACCATGCTGACTAAATAAAAGCTGCTGTTTCCGTAGAAACATAAACTTCTTGCCACGTTAGAAACTACGGCCAGTGTATTAGCGCATTTTTATGATAGCCAACCTTCTCTACCTCAAAAGAATAAATTCAGAAGTTATGCGCGCAACCGCTACAATACATTATGAGACATCCTGCAGTAAGGGACACCAAAAAATTGCAGTGCTGATCATTTCATGTTCTGTTCATGTGAAGCCCCTAACGTCGGCGTAAATCTCAATCAGGCACTCCTCGTGTTCAGGTACAAAGTGCGAGTCAGCAAACAAACTAAACCATCACAGCTCAGAATAAAATATGTTGGGTTGACCTAAACGGCCAAACACGTTATAGTTTTGTGAAATACGTTCAAAGACAAAATGATCACAAGTTTTGCGAATGTAAAAATAGAGGGTTTTTCTGTTCCATTTTTATGATTTCGAAAGAAATGAGTGACTATTTTTGAGGTAGAATGCAACTATCGTAGAGGAACACGTGACTCAGAACCCAGTGTTGAAACCTCGTTCCTCAATATTCCAGTTCTTATTTGCCAGCAATGCTCGGATGTTGCTGTAATGAAAAAAACCTTTCGCGTGCGTGCGTTTTCTCTAGCCGCTCTAAACTTGTGGAGTGTCTCGCCGCACAAACGTATGCACTGTGTGTTGCAAGAGCTACACATACTTTTTAGCTTTATAAATACAATAAGTATGACCAGTGGATTCCTGAGAAAACGTGGCTGATTCCCCTATATAAGAATCACAATCAAAGGTGTTTTTATAGAGGTAGTTGAGTGTTTATTGTGCATTGGTTCAGCAGCAGCAAAAAATTACAAATTCACGTCAGGAATGGCAAGCAGCTCAAAACTTGTAGCGCTCACCTGAAGTGGAATACAAGTATGAAATTGGCATACACAAGACGAGAGTGAACTAACAACTGTCCCAGCTTGACATCAGCACGTTGTTGAAACAGAAACAAAGACGCACGAAACGTGCGCAAAGGTATACGCAAGGTAAGCGCTAACAACTAAATGTCACAATTCTTCCTGCGTCGTTTGTCAGCAGCACGCTCCTTTCGTAAACGCGGCCGTGGCAGCGTGCGAAGGGAACTTCGTTCTCTCCTGATTTACAAGTCTAATAGGCGCACGTGCACGAGAGACCACGATCCGTAGAGGCTCTACTTCGTGGAGGTGACAACCTAACACGAGCCTGTCGCACCATCTCACCATTGATATTAAAAACGTGCTATAGTTTCGAAGCTCTGAGGACTGCCAAACTGTGTATCGTGTATATAAATGACTTACTTTGAGCAGCCCTGACAACGTGCGCTTTATGGCGCAGTGGCTGACGCCGTGCGCTGACGAATGAGAAGTTGCTGGTTTGATTCTCAGCAGCAGATGCTAGCCGTCTGTTTGCAATCTCTTAGTAATATTTTTAACGTCGCTTCCGTGACAGAAGTATTTGAGCGGAGCCATGGCGTACCCCGGTATAAAACACTTTTTCTGTTAAAAGTGTTTTAAGGTTAAATGCAAAGTACTGAAGAATGTGAGCGGTCATGATGATTGTGTGGAAGCGTATAAGTATGCCTCTCGTGAAGAGACTATGCAGATGAATGTGTAATATTTGGCACAGGCAGCGATATACCTCAGTAATTCTCTTTTGTTCCCGACTACAGGAGTAGTAAAAGGCGGGCCATTAGATTCTACCAAAAACGAGCGCTGAACAAAGCGCACTCTCGAGCGGCAACTGCTATGTGAAATTGAGGCGCTTAAAAGAAGCATCAAAAGCCGGCGCAAAAAAGTAATAATCATCAAAGGACGCCACACGTGCGCCTCCTCTCCTCCCCCCAAAAGCCGCGCCGACCAGCCTCCTTGGATCTAACAACCAGCGAACTCCAGAAACATCGAAAAGGAAGGGCTGAGTCACTCCTTAGTTTTGTCATGGGTCGCGGAGTTTTAGAGAAGGGCCCCGCCTTTCCTCAGCTTTGGTTGGGTCGCGCGCCGACGAAGCTTCTAGTATTCGGGATGAGTGCATATAAGCCAGCAGCGGAGGGAATCGGAGGAGATGAACAGGTTTTCCATTTGCGGGTGAAGTCTTGTTTTACAAACAGTGGAAGAGAGTGTGTTTGATGCCCGTGGGCGAGAACTTGTTCTGCAGTCACAGAGCGGGAGAAGCCAAAGTATTATTGAAGTGCGGTCAGTTGACGACACGAGAGCTTTCTGGAAAGGAAACCTCGCACACAGCGGGTTGACAATTGATGCTGGACTTTGAGTGGGTGTTTTCTTTTAGAGAAGCATTCAAGCTTTGTTCCACGAACTTTAGACTGAATACGTTTAGCGAACATTTTAGTCTATAAGTGTCTTGGTTAGTTTGTGCACGAGTTAATGGCCGCTTACAGAAGAGGATCCTGGGACCTTGGCCGACGATTTCCCATACGCGCAAAGCTACGACAGCCCTCTTGCACTTCTTAAGGACCACCAACTTCAAGACCACTTGTGACAGAACAGTGTGAGATCGCTCTGTGTAGTCTCAAGCTGAACATTCATCCTTCTGATTTTTACCTCCTCTTCTTTTCTATCTCTTTCCTTTCTATTATTCTCCCTTTCTCCCACCCCAATTAGGTACCAACCAAGCCAAGCTTGGTTAACCTCACTGCCTTTCCTCTCTCTCTCTCCTCTCTCCCTCTCTCTCTCTCTCTAATGCACGAGATTGCATTAAACAACGGCGAGCAAGGAATCAGTGCTAGCCCCACTGTGGTGGTCTATTGCTAAAGTACTCGGTCCTGCTTACCCGCAGGTCACGGGATCAATCCCGGCTGCGGCGGCTGCATTTTCCGGTGGAAGCGATAATGCTGTGAGCTATTGTGCTCAATTTGGTGCACGTCAAAGACCCCAGTGGTCAAATTTTTGAAGCCCTGCGCTATGG